TTCTCCCTCCGTTGTGCTTCAGTGACGCACTTCTCTCCGCGCGTTGCTTTTGTATTCTTTTTTTGTTTTGCGAGCGAGCTCACTCCTGCAAATGAGACTCTCGTGGTCTCTTGAGCTCTCAACTGGTCAAACAAAAGGAGCCTGAAATCTGCAGCTGCAGTCCCGTCGCTCGCCTACAACGCGATAGTCGTGCTGGCATTCCTGAAGAACACCGCGTTATGGGAAACATCGCGTCAATAAATAATGTATCGTCGGGTAAAACACATTCCTGTGGAGGGAGCTGGTAGGAACGTTGGGTTGCTCGGTCGATGACCAGGGTCAACGGCGGCGTGGTGTATTCCGCAAATATGGCCGACTGAGGGGGCGGGCACAAGCCGGCGTGAGTAGGTTAAACGTTGAGTTTTATAAGGGCACCACGGGGTGACCAGCCCCTCCCCTCCCACCCCACACCCAGCCCCACCCTCCCCACCCAGCCCCTCCCCTTCACGGTGCTTGAATGGTAAACGTTGTTGTGGGTTTACTCTCCAACACCACCGGTGTGCCGCACGTGTAACGGATTGGCACGTTTCGTTTACGCGGCAAACCTGTTGGGTGGCGGCGGGTTTGACGACACAACATTTATGTTCACGCGATCCCTCCTCGATGTCAACATTCGCCCAACGCTCCGCGTGTAAACAAAGACGACGCAGAGACACCCTCAACTTCCACTGACCGCCTTGTTTCAACGTCCACGTGTCTGCATTGTACAATAGAATGGACAGCACAACGAGCGTCATGTGACTGGAAACTTTCGCTATGATGCACCACAATGTTAGAAAAAAATAAGTGGGGGGGGGTGGGATATGGTCGGGCGGTCTGTGCCACCTTGGGCAGCGCTGGCACTCAGGACTCCGCTTCTCCACGATGGAGGGGGAAGGGGTGGGGGCTCGCTGAACCCGGGGGGGGGGGTATTTCCAAGCTCGGCGCAGACGGCGCGAGGCAATGCCCCACCGCCCCCGCACCCCCCCCCCTCCAGAGCGAGCCGCGTGTATAAGCGGCCGCCGTCACCATCGTGCGACCCCGTCACTTCGTTCACCTCCCCCCCCCCCCACCACCTCCGATTAGCATGGTCGGCCACGTACGGTGGCGCGAAAGAAATTCAGCGCACGCTGAAGCGCACGGCTTTAGCGTCTTGATCATCTTCCTATGGTACCTAGAGCCCTCAAGGAGCGCGCGCGCACACACACACGTACCCACACACACACACACACCGCCCGTGCGCGTCCACCCAAACCGACATTGTGCTAAGGCCCACACACACCCAAGTAGTAGTATATTTACACGACCCCCAGGGCTGCCGCGCGACCACCCCCGTGCCACCCGTCACGCCCCAACGGAGGCTCCGGGGTTAGCGAGCGCGGCTCCTCCGTCTCCTCCCTCCCTCCCGCCCCGTGCCCGCGCCGCCCCAGCCGCCCCCCGGCCGACGCGGGGAGGGCGACGGGACGCCGCCGCCCCCGGCGGGAAGAAGGCGCCCGCGGCGGCGCTCTAGCAGGCGCAGCCACCCTCGGTGGACACGTGCTCCTTGGGCTTCTCCAGGTTGATGTCGATCACTGTGCGCGGAGGGTCGCGAGGTCAAGGAAGCTCGCCGCGGTTCCAAGGTGTGTCCGTGTGTGCGTTGAACTTCTTTCGTGCCGCCGTACGTAGCCGACCGTGCGCGTCGGAGGTGCGCCGGAAGGGAAAACAAAACCAAACGCAAAAAGCTGCTCTAAAGGAATGAGTTGGGCAATCTAAAGATGATCTAAGAGTGAACATCTCTCAGCGGCACCCCCGGGTGCCAGGGTGGTAAGATGTTAACTACCTCGCCTGGTGTGCAGGAGGTCGTGGATTCGATCCCAACCCCCACGCCTGCTGTATATTTGGAGTTTGCGTGTTCTCCCCATAGTCGCGTGGATTTTTCTCCGGGTCCTCCGGCTTTTCCCTCCATATTTAGAATCAACATCACCACGCGTTTAAGATGATTTGACCGCTTTACGTTTCCAAGCGATAAGCCACTTCGTTTGTGGCCGGGTAACTTCTGAAAAAGAGCAATGCAGCTCAGTGGGGACTTACCTGCTAAAATTAATAATAGTTTAATAGTTACAATAGTTTAATAATTATAATGGTTTAATAATGGGAGACAGATGTAAGGGAGACACGCGGATAAGAGGGAGACACAGATAAGAGGGAGCCGTGCAAAAAAAAAAATGTAGAGAGTGGGTGGAGAGAGCGGGCGGAGAGAGCGGGTGGAGAGAGCGGGTGGAAAGAGTGAGGATGAGGTGAGGGTGGGGTGAGGGTGGGGTGAGGGTGGGTGTGGCACGGTGCCAACGCAGGTGGGGGGGGGGGTCTCAGCGAGGCCTGCAGCACGCAGCAAGGATACTGTCCTCCTTGCTCCTCTCCGGAGAGGCGTCCATGCCGGGGAGCGCGGCCGCCACGCGCCGGAAGAGCTGCGGAGGCACGCGGCGCTTGTGAGGCCGTGGCCTTGCAAACTTTGTGGACAGCGACATGACACTCGCGACAGTGGCACGGGCAGTTGCAAAGTAACAAACATCAACTCGTCACCGACCGGTGCCTTAAAGTAACAAAGTATACAATTGGCAACGTCACTTCTTGGCAGCACACACGCGCACACATGCGCGCACATGCGCGCACACACACACACACACACGCGCACACGTGAGCTCACACACACGCACGCCCAGATGCACGCACACGCTAGAGTACCACTACCATTAGACTACCATTACACACTACCACTACACTACACAAAACTACACTACCACTACACTACACAACCACTACATCACACTACACTCCCGTTACACTACACACTACACTACCACTACATATTACACTACACACTACACTACATATTACACTACACACTACACTACATATTACACTACACACTACCGCTACATTACACTACCACTACACACTACAAACCACCGCTACATTACACTACACACTACACTACCGTTACACTACACACTACAATAGCGCTATACTACACTACACACTACACTACATATTACACTACACACTACAATACCACTAAACTACACACTACACAACACTAAACTACACACGACCGCTCCCGCTACTCTGCGCCACTCGTCGCGCTGCCGTCACTCCGCCGGCTGTTGTCCGTGCAGCGGCCGAGCGTCTAGCCGGGCCTCTAGCCGGGCGTCTAGCCATGCCGGGGGCCGGGAGGTGCGCACCTGCTTGACGTTGTAGCCGGCCTTGGCGCTGGTCTCGATGAACATCACGTTCAGCTCCTTGGCCTTGCGCTCACCTTCGTCGATGGACACCTGCCTGTGGGGGGGGGGGCATGGGGAGAGTTCACGGGAGGGAGAGCTCACGGGAGGGAGAGTTCACGGGGGGAGAGCTCACGGGGAGAGTTCACAGGGGGAGGGAGAGAGTATGTCCCTGTGTCCATGTTGTCTGGGAGGGAGAGTTCACGGGGGGAGGGAGAGAGTGTGTCCCTGTGTCCGTGTTGTTTGGGAGCGGTGGCGCAGCGGTTAGCACACCGTGCCCTTGGACCCAGCAACTCGAGTTCCAATTCCCGCTGACGATCAATAACAGTGGGCATCCCCTAGGTCGATTCAGCCTCAAATGAGTACCTGGTGCGCTGTGTTAATATCGCTACTAGGGAGACGAAGGCCGCCAGGCATAGGGCTGACCACCCACCCCCTCGTGTGCCGTGTTGGCCTTCACAGGTGCTACTCGCTAATAGCACTTGCCCCAACAATGTTACAGGCTATACGGGGGATCTTTGTCTCTTGTGCAGTCTGTGTCCGAAGAGCGAAGCGGTGGCTCGGCGGGCAGCGTGCCGCGCTACGAACCCGACGACCCGGGTTCGATTCCCGCTCGAGGCCACAAACACGGCCAAACTGGTCGTGGGCCTCCCCGCCGAGGTCGCTACGTGGGGGGATAGAATCTGCGCGAGTGCGTCCGCGAGCGTCCACGAGTGTGCGGGCGGGCGTGTGCGATATCCCACGCTCCGGAGGTGAGGGGGGGGGGGCGGTGGATCACGTGGAGAATTTTCCAAACCCCCACTTTGGGCTGCGGAGGCAACGGGCGCACGAAAGCGGTGAGCGAGCGGGGTCATCGACCCCCTCGAGAGTGGCCGCCGCGGCCGCTCTCCGGCTCCTCCGCTCTCGCCGACCGTGACCGGCACGGAGCCGGGCCAGAGTCCTAGGGGTCTCGGCGGGGCGTTTGCCGGCCGGTGTCGCGTGTGCGGGCGTGGGCGGGCGTGGGCGTCGGTGCCAACCTCTTGTCCGCCAAGTCGGTCTTGTTCCCCACCAGCATGATGATGACGTCGCTGCCTCGCTCGGTTCGCACGTCGTCAATCCACTTGGACGTCTGCTGGAATGAGTTGACATCTGCGCGTACGCACGCACGCACAACAAAGATCCCCCGCATAGCCTTAACGGGCTATTGGGGCAAGTGTTCTTTTCGCGAGCAGCATCTAAGAAGGCCGGGAACGGTATGTGAAGGAGGGTGGGTGGGTAACACACACACTACACACACTACACAAACAGATATAACACACACAAACACAACCGCCATTTGTCGGTGACGTCACCATGGCGCTTGTGCCAGGGTATGTGCACGTTAAGGCCACGTGAAGTGTCGAACACATGCTGGCAGACCCAGGTGCCATGAGTCAACCTACTCAGATGACTGGCCGATGCACCACCTGTGCCCCCTACTGTGCAAACTTGCTGTGGTTTATCCACCCGGCACTCCGCTCGTTGTTGTGAGTGTCGCTTCTCTGCCCTCCGTTGTTGCTGGAGGGCGACTGCCTCCAACTGCCCAGTAGCATCCTTCACGAGCCTCCTCCATAGAGGCCGATCTTGACACTGTTGGCACCGGTCATCGGCAAGTGCACTCAGCTCCACATCCTCCTGTACCACATCACTCCATCTCTTCTCTAGCCCGTGCTGCGCCCGTTTAGCCCCCTCTATCCGGCCAAACAAAACCTGTTTAGGCATGCGGTGGCTGGGCATGCGGGCTACATGACCCAGCAAACGCAGCCTTGCCTGCCAGAGGAGCTCACCGATGGGACTTTGTGAGTTCATCACAAAATCCAGCCTGGTTAAACCCTGGATGGATCATAGGCAGGCCAGCCGAATTGTTTTAACCGGTGAAGATGTTCCATTAAGGGGGTCCACGTTTCGCAAGCATAGAGGAGGGAATGATCATGGCCGAGAAGACCCGAAGCTTCGTGTGGAGTGACAGACCAGGTAGCTTCCACACAGCGTTATGCAGTTGATTAAAATATAATGCCGCTAGGCTGATTTGGTGCGAGACCTCTGCTGTCAAACCGGAGCTGGTCATGAGCACACTCCCCAGGTATGAAAAACTCTCCACTATCTCCACAACTGCCCCATGGCCAATTGGGAGTTATGGGGGTAGAGTGATTGATGGCACAAAATACCCAGGCAGGTGCTTAATTTTGGTGGGTGTTGATGGTAAGGCCCCACCTCTTAGTGGCACGCTCCAGGTTCAGCAGTAGCGCCTCCAACTCCTCCTCTGAGTGAGCAGCAATCACCAGATCATCGGCATACAGAACATGTTTTACCAATAGGGAGCCATCCCTTGACTGCACCCGGGTATCGATCAGCCTCCCATTGTATCTATACCAGATGGAAATTACTCTGGTACAGCCATCGAAGGCTTCATGAACTATGTGGTCGAAATAGATGTTAAATAATGTGGGAGCCACAGGACATCCCTGTTGTACCCCATGGTGTACAGGGAAAGGCTCTGACTCCTGGCCACGTCGTTTTACCCAGGCCTGCTCACCATCATGAAGGTCCTTAATGATCGTGAGCAGAGAGTCAGGGACTCTGAAAGCACGAAGGACAACCCAGAGCCCAGGCCTACTGATGGTATCAAAGGCCTTGACCAGGTCAATAAAGCAGAGATGTAGGTCTTGTTGGAATTCCCTATACCTCTGCTGTGGCAAATGGACAGAAAATATGGCATCTGTGCAGGACCGCCCTTTCCTGAAACCACATTGGGGCTCCGCAAGCCTCTCCCCAGCGTGCCTAGCAAGGCGATGTTGAATAATCCTTGCCAGGACCTTTCCCGGCACACTGAGGAGTGAGATGCCCCTGTAGTTGTTACAGTCTTGGCGGTCCCCTTTCTTAAAGAAGGGGACCAAGCAGGGCATCCTTTTAATCCTGCGGAACCCGACCAGTGGTCCAGACTGTAGTCATGTCAGGCAGTCTGCGCACAAACGCCACCTTCCCTCAGCATGTATCTTTGGAGATTGTCTCTGCCCGGTACTCTACACACACACACAACCCACAAATATATAACACACACTACACACACACAGATATAACACACACAACATAGATATGACACACACATTGTACACACAACACACACACATATATAACACACAAAACTGCACACACACAACACACACAGATAGTAACACAGCATATACACAAAACAAACACAGATCTAACACACAATCACAAAGATAGAAAACACGCACAACAAACACACACACACACAAAGCTAGATATAACACACACACACAACACACACAGATACAACACACACAGACACACCACACACAGATAAAACACACACACACAACACACACAACCCACACACACACAGACACAACACACAGACACACACAGATACAACACACACAGACACAACACACACACACAGACACAACACACACACACAGACACAACACACACAGATACACACACACAGACACAACACACACATAACACACACAACAGACACAACACACGCACAACACACACAGAGACACACACAGATACAACACACACACAACACTCACAACACACACAGGCACAACACAGACACAACACACACATAACACACACACAACACACACACAACACACACAGACACAACACACACACAACACACAGAGACACAACACACACAGATACAACACACACAACACACACAGACACAACACACACACAACACACACAACACACACAGACACAACACACACACACAACACACACAGACACAACACACACACAACACACACACAACACACACAGACACAACACACACACACAACACACACACAACACACACACAACACACACACAACACACACACAACACACACAAGCACACGGGGTGAAGAGACCCTGACTCGCACGGACATCTGCTGGGGGAGCCAGCCCCGTGTGTTCATGCTCAGGTGATGGTAGTGGGGGGGGGGCGCTGCTTGCTGCAGGTTCCGACGGCCCCCTACGGCCCCCCACCCCCCCAGGGCCCCCCCCCCACCCCCCGCGAAAGAGAGAGAGGGGGGGGGGGCGCGTTACTCACTGGTGACGTCGTAGACTACGACCGCCACAGTGGAGTCGCGGATGTAGCTGGGGATGAGACTACGGAACCTCTCCTGCCCAGCCGTGTCCCACAGCTGTAGGCGCACCTGGCCAGGGGAAGGAGGCGATGGTGGGGGGGGATGGGGGGGAGGAGGCGCGGGAGGAGGAGGGGGCAGGAGGGGGGAGGCCCTAGGAGCGGTGGGGGTGAGGGGGGCGATGGTGGGGGAGGGGGCAGCGGTGGCTCCCCCGGGGGGGGGGGGGGGGGGGGGCGACGGGAGCGGCGGCGGGCGGCAGAGAGACGAGAGGCAGAACGCTCGGCCAGACGGGGCCACGCGCACGGACACGCACACGGACAAGCACACGGACACACAGACACACAGACAGACACACAGGCACACAGACACACAGACACACAGACACACGCACACACAGGCACAGACAGACACACAGACACACAGGCACAGACACACAGACACACAGACAGACACACAGACACACAGGCACACAGGCACAGACACACAGACACACAGACACACAGACACACAGACACACAGACAGACACACAGACAGACACACAGACACACAGACACACAGGCACACGCACACACGCACACACACACAGACACACAGGCACATAGGCACACAGGCACACAGGCACACAGGCACACAGACACACGCGCACACAGGCACACAGACACATGCGCACACACAGGACAGCGGAGCGGATGAGATGTGGGGTGAGGTGCAGAGTGAGTGAGATGTTGGAGTGAGTGAGAGGTGGAGTGAGTGAGACGCGAAGCGAGTGAGACGCGGAGCGGGTGAGGTGTATGGTGGGTGAGATGACGCCACACAGAACGCACACACGGGCAGAGGCAACACATAGCCGGGAAGTGACACAGCACACACACCCAGAGCGCACACACACCCACACAGACACACACAGACACACACACCCACACAGACACCCACACAGACACAGACACAGACACCCACACAGACACCCACACAGACACACACACAGACACACACAGACACACACCCACACACAGACACACACACAGACGGAGCAAACAGGAGTAGGTGAGTACAGGGAAGGAGGAGGAGGAGGAAGAGGAAGAGAAGCGGCTGTCAGTGTATGGGCGGGCGTACTCGTGATGTCGTAGACCACCACGGCGGCCGCCGAGTCGCGGATGTAGCTCGGGATGAGGCTGCGGAAGCGCTCCTGGCCCGCCGTGTCCCACAGCTGCAGCCTGATCTAGAGTGCAGCACCACAACTCGGTACACGTGCAGTACAACAACACGGTACACGTGCAGTACATGTGCAGTACCACAACACAGTACACACATAGCACCACAACACGTGCAGTACACGTGCAGTACAACAACACGTGCAGTACACGTGCAGTACAACAACACATGCAGTACACCAACACGGTACACGTGCAGTACAACAACACGATACACGTGCAGTACCACAACACGGTACACGTGCAGTACAACTACACGGTACACGTGCAGTACACCAACACGGTACATGTGCAGTACAACAACACGTGCAGTACACGTGCAGTACAACAACACATGCAGTACACCAACACGGTACACGTGCAGTACAACAACACGATACACGTGCAGTACAACAACACAGTACACGTACAGTACCACAACACGTGCAGTACCACAACTCGGTACACGTGCAGTACAACAACACATGCAGTACACCAACACGGTACACGTGCAGTACACGTGCAGTACGGCAACACGTGCAGTACACGTGCAGTACCACAACACAGTACACACACAGTACCACAACACGTGCAGTACACGTGCAGTACCACAACACAGTACACGTGCAGTACCACAACTCGGTACACGTGCAGTACCACAACACGTGCAGCACGACAACATGGTACACGTGCAGTACCACAACACAGTACACGTGCAGTACACGTGCAGTACCACAACACAGTACACACACAGTACCACAACACGTGCAGTACGCTAACACGATACACGTGCAGCACGACAACTCGGTACATGTGCAGCACGACAACACAGTACACGTGCAGTACAACACGTGCAGTACCATAACACAGTACACGTGCAGTACAACAACACGTGCAGTACCACAACACAGTACACGTGCAGTACGGCAACACGTGCAGTACGCTAACACAGTACACGTGCAGTACCACAACACGTGCAGTACCACAACACAGTACACGTGCAGTACGGGAACACAGTACATGTGCAGTACCACAACACGTGCAGTACGGGAACACAGTACACGTGCAGTACAACTCGGTACACATGCAGTACCACAACACATGCAGTACCACAACACGGTACACGCGCAGTACAACACCAAGGTACACACACAGGACCACACACGGTACATGCGCAGTACAACAAGGTACACGTGCAGTACCACAACACACGCAGTACGGGAACACGGTACACGTGCAGTAACACACACGGTACATGCGCAGTACAACACAGTACACGCACGGCACTCACACAGTACGACGACACGGTACGGATGATTGGGGCAAGTGCTGTTAGTGAGTAACATCTACAAAGGCCGGCACGGTACATGAGGGGTGGGTGGCCAGCACCACGTCCGGCTGCCTTTGTCTCCTTCACGGTGATGTTGACTACACACCGCACAAGGTACTCATTTGAGGCCGAGCCAACCTAGCCAGCCTTACTTAGCACTCGCACACAAACACAGCGCGTAACTTTACATCAACGATCCCACAATTAATTTGTATTCCAAGCATGGCACTTGTGGGCGCCCCGTCTCAGGGGACGGGGCCTGTGGATGCACACACCGCAGAACTACCTCTGAGACCCCTTCACGCGACGTCCACTCCATGCAGTAGTTGTGAGGGGGGGGGGCTCTATTCTGGCCACTGCCCCGCAGGAAAGCAATCACCACGCGGTGGTGGAGGAGGAGGTGGGGGGGCAGAAGGAAAGAAACATGAGCAGAGAGAACACTTATGAAGGGGAGCAGGAGGAGGCCACTCACTGTGCGGTCCTCCAGGTACATCGTCTTGGACAGGAAGTCGATGCCGATGGTCGCCTGCAGGCCGAAGGAGAGAGAAGCAGCGGAGACAAGTCGATCCACGGGGGGGCCGCGATCGCTCACGTCGCAACGCACGCACGGCCACTACGAGTGCACGTGCCTGCGTCGCTACAAGCCTGCGTGCGCGTGTCACTACAAATCCGCGTGCGTGCGTCACTACGAGCATGGAGCGCGTGTCTAGCGACGCCCGGGGCCCTGAGCTTCGCTGAACGAGCCGTCCCATTCCGAGGGATTCTCTGGGTGAAATACTTTCAACGGATACAATTCCCAATCCTCTGCATCTTCCCTCGCACCGCTCCACTTTGCCGCGTTTGATCCAAGAAGCGTGCTGCACTCTTTACCTCTCACGAATCTTGTGGTAAACGTAAGATTCGTGTGTTAAACGCAACACGGCCTCTCCGTGTCTCCACCACACAGAGCCTCTCTAGGCTTAGCAGAGTCACAGTTGCCACCAGTCCCGGCATTGGCAACTGTACTGTTTGGTTTTTTCGGTAAAGTCACGTAGGTATAAAATAAAATAAAATCACGACGTTTCGAGTGCAACACAAGCAATCATCATCAGGTGGGAAAACCACAGCAAGACAATTTTGCTCCTCCCCCTTTCTTACCGATATAACCTCTTACCACGGCAACTCTCTCTCCCACTTCAGCAACATTTTTTTGCCGTGGTTTTCCCAGCTGATGATGATTGCTTGTGTAGCAATCAAAACGTCGTGATTTTATTTTATTTTCTACCCACGTGACTTTACCGAAAGAACCAAAGAGTATGGATTCCTGCAGTCACGAAAACTTCAAATCGAGATTGCCATCTGTGTTTGGGGTGGCAGCAAGTGATTTGTACCGAGGTTTGGCGAGGCCCTCGCAGGTGGGACCCTAACCGCCAGGGCCCTCCCTAGCGGAGTGCGCCGTTTGACAAGCGCTCGTTTACCAAGCGCTCGTTTGACAAGCGCTCGTTTGACAACGGAGCCCGGCGGAAGGCGAGCCGGACCCCCTGAGGGGCCAGCTTCGTGAATAATGGAGGCCGCTGCCAACGCAGCGCCGCGGGGGGCCTCAATAATTCACGAGCGCCGCACGGAGGCGGGCGGGGGGGGGGAAGAGACGCACGGGAGAGAGACATCAAGGGCCCTCTTCGTTATTCTAAGTTGCAGCTTCAGTGAGCCTCAAGACTCTTTTTCAAGAGTCCTTGCCATGGTTCTCGCAGTAGGGGGCGATGTTGCTGCTGCTGCTGTGTGATCCCAATTGAGTATCCACAATAAGAGGTTGTTTTGTGGGTGTTAGATCGCGTGAATATAAATGTTGTGGTCGTTTAACCCGCCGCCGCCGCCCGACACAGCCAACTAGTTAGGGGTTTGTCCCTTAAACAGAACGTGCCAATTAGTTTCTTGTTTCAGCACACCGGTTGTGTGTTGGAGAGTGAACCCCACAACATTTACAAGTAGTCATCAATAGGAAACTAAGCTAATAGCTCGGTGGGTGTTACCTGGTAAGATAAACATAGTTTCGTTTGTCTATTTTAAAATGATTTGTTTACCTTTCCTATACTTGGCACTACTCCTATCGTGTTTTTGTGTCCTGTTTGTTGTTGTAACGTTCTGACTCCGTGCCCCTAGTGCACATCTGTGAAAAAGAGCTTCATAGCTTATCAGATTCCTCCTCCTGCAGCCTAAATAAATATTCTGATTCTGAAAGCGGAAGTACCCGCACCAAACTCCCTCAACCACGCATGCTACCGCCGGTCCAACTGACCGTGGCGCTGCGTCCATTCACACGGCGGATTCCATTAACTTGCTTCCTTGTATCAACAGCCGCACCAGGAGATGGAGTTGAATCGGCGACTGTGAATTGCAAGTCCAGTGTGCCAACGACTACACCACTGTGGCAGCCTCCCTCTCTAAACTAAACTCTTTTTTATTTTTTCCAGGTAAGGCCCACCGAGCTCTATCGCTAAGCCCAACGAAGTGGCTTATCACGTGGAAATGTAGAGCAGCCAAATAAACACTCGAAACGCATGCTTGCAAATGTGGAGGGAAAAGCCACACGACCACGCGGAAAACTCGCACACTCCAAATAGACAGCAGCAGGCGTCAGGGTCGGGATCGATCCCACGACCTTCTGTATACCGGGCGAGGTAGTTAACATCTCATAGCCACCGTGATGATGATGAGACACGCAGACTCCAAATATACAGCAGGTGTCAGGGTCGGGATCGATCCCACGACCTTCTGTATACCGGGCGAGGTAGTTAACATCTCCGAGCCACCGTGGCACCCACCTGGTACGTGTTGTCAAAGCTGTCGTACATGAACCTCGTGATGAGCGAGGTCTTGCCAACTGCAGAACAAAAACAAAGATACGCACACACACACACACACGGGGTTAGGCTATGGCGCTGGACTATTAGCCCTGGTCCATAGGGTTTGCCTATAGCCCTGGTCTATAGGGTTTGCCTATAGCCCTGGTCTATAGGGTTTGCCTTTTGCCCTGGTCTATAGGGTTTGCCTATAGCCCTGGTCAATAGGGTTTGCCTATAGCCCTGGTCTATAGGGCTGGGCTATGTGGCTGGCTGGATAACCAGCCACGGCTACAGAATTGGACTAGAGACTGGGCCATCGGGCTGGGCTACAGCGCTATAGTGCTGGGATATCAATCTGGGCTGCGGGTGGGGTTGGACTATGGTAATGCGCTATAAACTGCTCTGCAGGGCTCACATACAGAGCCAAGCTCGAGGGCTTGGTGAGTCTGGGGTCCTGTGGTAGGCAGGGCTATGAGACCGAGCTATGGGACTGGGCTGCAGGGCTATTGGGACTCGCGCGCTGATTTACTCAAACTTGTGTGGCCCCGCGGACGGCTCAGCCGATGCGAACACTTCTGGCGGACCACCACCCAGTGCCCCCCCCACCACCATCCTCCCCTGTTGACAAACACATTCACTTCTCTCAATAGAGAGACTCCTCTACTTACAAGCATTCGAGCGAGAGTCGCAAGTTTAACCGCCACGCAATAGATTGCGGTGGTGGCTTGTACATCTGCAGAATGTGAAGAACCAGTGGGCACCTACATCTACAGATCATACAACGTTTAAAGCCATTCCCCCGTGTTAAGTGTACATGCCGTAAAACATGTTTGGAATCGACAGGAGTAAAGTTGGACGAAAGAATAGACCTCTGGAAACGAACTCGTTCATAAGTAGAGCAATACCTCTACCACTAATACAACACGATTCATATTTCGGAACATAAAAACATTCACTTTTAAATTCAGCTATAAGGGTTGGTTTTCTTTTGGGATGGCATTCAGATCTGATGGTTGGGGAAGTTTAATCAGGGTAGTTTACCCAACTTCATTATTACATTTAATATCCGAAGTAAAGTATTAATTAATGTCCGAAACAAGAGGTCTGGACGCTGTTGTGATTCTTGTCCGGATCGAGCCGCGTTCACATCGCAGCGACCGCCGAGGTCCCCGTGCAGGAGCATCGCGGACCACCGGTGGTGCGGGGAGCCACATTCTTGACAACCACGGGGATAGACTACGGGACTGGGCTAGGCTGGGCTAGGCAGGGATATGGGACTGGGCTGTAGGACGAGGGCAGGGGTCGGCAACCTGCGGCTCCGCGGCTGCATGCCGGCTCTTCCAGGGACTGCTTCGTGGCGTTGCTTATCGAGGACCACCACCGTCTCGTATTCGTCACGTGCACATTGCGGTGGCTCTTCAAATACTGAGTTGTTTTTACCGAATTCGAAAAATAAATGCCTCTTCCTGATATATTTTGGGTTGCCGACACCTGTGACTATGCTAATGGAGGCTAGGCAGGGCTACGGGACGAGGCTATAGGACTCGGCTAATGGGGGCTAGGCAGGGCTACGGGATGAGGCTATAGGACTCGGCTAATGGGGGCTAGGCAGGGCTACGGGACTAGGCTACAGGACTCGGCTAATGGGGGCTAGGCAGGGCTACGGGACGAGGCTATTGGACTTGGCGAGGCAGGGCTATAGGCCTGAGCTACAGGACTATGCTATAGGCCGAGGCAGAGGTATTGGACTTTGCTGGGCTACTGGGCGAAGGGGTAATGCTACAAATATGGCTGGGCACTAGGCCCAAGGCAGGGCTGTGGACCTCACCGCTCTGCTCGCCCAGGAACACGAGCTTGAACTTCCTCAAGGGATTCCCGAAGTCACTGCCGCCTGCCATGGCACCTGGGGACAGAGACACGGTCACTCACAAGGCTGCCCCACACACTCACAGAGCTGCACAACACACCCACACAGCTGCACCACACACTCACACAGCTGCACCATATATTCACACAGCTGCAGCACACACTCACAGAGCTGCACCACACACCCACACAGCTGCACCACACACTCACACAGCTGCACCACACATTCACACAGCTGCACCACACTCACACAGCTGCACCACACACCCACAGAGCTGCACCACACACAGCTGCACCACACACTCACACAGCTGCACCACACACTCTCACTGCTGCACCACACACCCACAAAGCTGCACCACACACTCACACAGCTGCACCACACACCCACAGAGCTGCACCACACACCCACAAAGCTGAACCACACAGCTGCACCACACACTCACACAGCTGCACCACACACTCACACAGCTGCACCACACACTCACACAGCTGCACCACACACCCACAGAGCTGCACCACACACTCACACAGCTGCACCACACACCCACAAAGCTGCACCACACAGCTGCACCACACACTCACACAGCTGCACCACACACTCACACAGCTGCACCACACACCCACACAGCTGCACCACACACTCACAAAGCTGCACCACATAGCTGCACCACACACTCACACAGCTGCACCACACACTCACACAGCTGCACCACACACCCACACAGCTGCACCACACACTCACACAGCTGCACCACACACTCACACAGCTGCCCAACACACTCACACAGCTGCACCACACACTTACAGAGCTGCACCACACACTCACAGAGCTGCACCACACACCCACAGAGCTGCACCACACACTCACACAGCTGCACCACACACCCACACAGCTGAACCACACACTCACACAGCTGCCCAACACACTCACACAGCTGCACCACACACTCACACAGCTGCACCACACACTCACAATAAAGCTCTATTAACCACTATAGACATATATTGATCACGAGAGCTGTATTAACCACTAAGGTTGTACTATATACAAGTAGTGCTCTATAAGGTGGCTACTGATCACTATATGTATTGATCACTATATGTATTGATCACTATAGAGCTATATTGATGAGTAGGTTCTACTCTGTACACCAGTGTACGTGTACGCTACACTCACGTGTCTATCGTAATGATATTGATCCCGAGATCTCTACCGATCACTCTAGACCTCTATCGATCACTATAGACCTGTATCGATCACTCGAGATCTCTACAAATCGAGTTGGACTCGACACGAAGACGCTCCTATCAATCACTCCAGTAGATGTATATCGACCATTCTAGACCACTACTGGTCACCCTATATCAATATCGATCACTCTAGATAGTTACTGATCACTCTAAACCTCTATCGATCACTATATATTCCTGGTCACTCTAAATCTCTGATGATCACTCTAGATCTCTATCGATCACTTTAGATCTCTATCGATCACTCTATATCTTTATCGATCACTCTTGAGCTCGATCGATCACTCTGGACGCCTATCGATCACTCTGGACGCCTATCGATCACTCTAGATCTCTATAGAACATTCTAGATCCCTGCTGATCACTCCGTACGCCTATCGATCATTCGAGATCTCTGCCGATCACTCGAGATCACTGCTGATCACTCTGGACGCCCATCGATCACTCGAGATAGCTGCTGATCACTCGAGATCACTGCTGATCACTCCGTACGCCTATCGATCACTCTAGATCCCTGCTGATCACTCGAGATCACTGCTGATCACTCTGGACGCCCATCAATCACTCGAGATCCCTGCTCATCACTGCGGGTGCCTGTCGATCACTCTCGATCAACATTGATCACTATCGATCACTCCCGATCGCTCCCGATCACCTCGGGGGAGTTGGCCTTGAGTCTCGATGGAGCTGCCGCTGCGCCGCCACGTCCAGCCGCACACTGCGCATGCGCGCCCGCCCCGCCGCGTGACGTCACCGCGCAGCCGCGCCGAGACATTGCGTCATCACTGTCCGCGCGAGTTTGCCCGCCGCCACGCGCCGCATAGATGACGTCACCGCATGTTTACCGCCCCTCCCCCCCCCCCGCGTGTGCCGATGGGCACGTCAGAATGTGAATGTTTATTGAGACCGCAGGAAGAATCCGGTGAGGGGCCGTCCATAAATGACGTCACGCACCTGTGGGTGGGGGGGGTCAGACATTTGTGACGATGTGTGACGTGGGGGGGGTTTGAGAAATGTGACGTCACATCAAAATTGCGCAACTTTAAATAAATATAAACACCACGTTCTACTTAATTAAATAAACTTTTAATGTTTTCTCCGACAACATCAGAGTACAACGCCACATTAAATACGCACTACAATGACAATAGTTTAAAGCGATTTGAAGCATGTTTCATTTTCAAAATGTAAATGTTTTTTTTTTATGGGGGGGGGGGGCAGAGCTTTGTGACGTCATATTTGAGGGGGGGGGTCTGACTTTTTGTGACGCCGTGTGACGAGCGGGGTGGGGGGTCAAAAACTGTCCAAAATCGCGTGACGTCATTTATGGACGGCCCCTTTGTGGCTAATCGGATTCCTCCTCCAGTATAAACACATATTCTGATTGTGAATGGTGTTGCTCTGCATCGACATTCACACATCGAACTTATATAACTCACGTGGTTATACTGGTAGGAACGAAGTGGACCAGACACCAATAGATTATATCGTCCGTCCGTTTGTCCGTCCGTCCGTGTAGCAACATCGCCCCCTACTGCAAACACTTGGCAGGACCCTACAAAAACCTTTTGACTCAGTGGGGCTTTCCTGGCTTAACAAGTGTAATAATACATTATGTTTATATTCTTTGGTTATTCGTTCCTACCAGCCCACCCAACAGGGTCCTGTTTATGAACGTAAAATTCGTGGCTTGCTTTCCATTCCCTCTATGCTGCACTGCTATCGCGTCTTTGTAGCGTCTCTTGTTGACCCCGTGCCCCCACTGGACATCTGTGTGAAAGAGCTTCACAGCTCATGGGATTCCTCCTCCTGCAGTCTCAATCAAGATGATCCTGAGTCTGACATCAGCCGGAGGAGAGAAGAACGCCGCTGACTCGAGAGGGGACATCCACAGGAGCTGCCGGTCGCGACGCCATACACAGGAGCTGCCGGTCGTGACGTCATACACAGTGGCTGCCGGTCGTGACGTCATCCACAGGAACTGCCAGTCGTGACGTCATCCACAGGAGCTGCCGGTCGTGACGTCATACACAGTAGCTGCCGGTCGCGACGTCATCCACAGTGCCTGTCAGTCGTGACGCCATTCACAGTAACTGCCGGTCGTGACACCTTACACAGGACCTGCCAGTCGTGACGTCATCCACAGTGCCTGTTAGTCGTGACGTTTTCTACAGTACCTGCCAGTCATGACGTCATCCACAGGAACTGCTAGTCGTGACGCAATCCACAGTACCTGCCAGTTGTGACGTCATCCACAGTGCCTACTAGTCGTGACGTCATCCACAGTGCCTGCCATGTGTGACGTCATCCACAGTGCCTACCAGTCGTGACGTCACCCACAGTGCCTGCCAGTCGCGACGTCATCCACAATGTGTGCTGGTCGTGACGTCATCCACATTACCTGCCAGTCGCGACGTCATCCACAATGTGTTGGTCGTGACGTCATCTACATTATCTGCCAGTCGTGACGTCATCCACATTGCTGCCAGTCGTGACGTTTGCACAGGAACTGCCAGTCGTGACGCAATCCACAGCACCTGCCAGTCGTGACGTCATCCACAGTGCCTCCCAGTCGTGACGTCAATCCAAAGAGCGTTTCAGACATGACGTTTTAGCCAAAAGCGGCTTCGAATCGTGACGTCACATCCAAAGTTCCAATCAGACGTGACGTCATATTCAGTGCCGATCGGCCGCGACGTCATCTAGAGTGCCAATCAGTCGTGACGTCATATCAAATTAAAGTTGCTATCAGTCGTGACGTCATCACGGCTGTTTATCTTTCGCGTGGGCGGCATCGGGTAGAGGCTGCGAGGGCGTGGCCCGTGTCTCCGTCTCCCTCCCGTGTCTCCGTGTGTCTCCGTCTCCCTCCCGTGTCTCCGTGTGTCTCCGTCTCCCTCCCGTGTCTCCGTGTGTCCCTGTCTCCCTCCCGTGTCTCCGTGTGTCCCTGTCTCCCTCCCGTGTCTCCGTCTCCCTCCCGTGTCTCCGTGTGTCTCCGTCTCCCTCCCGTGTCTCCGTGTGTCTCCGTCTCCCTCCCGTGTCTCCGTGTGTCCCTGTCTCCCTCCCGTGTCTCCGTGTGTCCCTGTCTCCCTCCCGTGTCTCCGTGTGTCCCTGTCTCCCTCCCGTGTCTCCGTCTCCCTCCCGTGTCTCCGTGTGTCTCCGTCTCCCTCCCGTGTCTCCGTGTGTCCCTGTCTCCCTCCCGTGTCTCCGTGTGTCCCTGTCTCCCTCCCGTGTCTCCGTCTCCCTCCCGTGTCTCCGTGTGTCTCCGTCTCCCTCCCGTGTCTCCGTCTCCCTCCCGTGTCTCCGTGTGTCCCTGTCTCCCTCCCGTGTCTCCGTCTCCCTCCCGTGTCTCCGTGTGTCTCCGTCTCCCTCCCGTGTCTCCGTCTCCCTCCCGTGTCTCCGTGTGTCCCTGTCTCCCTCCCGTGTCTCCGTGTGTCTCCGTCTCCCTGTCTGTCTCTGTGTTGCACTGCTGTCCCCGTGAGTTGGTCTCCTCACGATCTGTCTCCGTGCCCCACGTGCGTACAACACTTGCCTCCCCGTGTCTCTGTGTGTGTGTCCTCCGTGTCTCCCCCCCCCCGTGTCTCTGTGTGTGTGTGTCCTCCGTGTCCCCCCCCCCCCCCCGTGTCTCTGTGTGTCCTCCGTGTCCCCCCCCCCCCCCGTGTCTCTGTGTGTGTCCTCCGTGTCTCCCCCCCCCCCCCCCCCCTGTGTGTCTCCCTCCACCCCCCGTGTCTCCCCTCGTGTCCCCCCGTGTGTCTCCACCACCACCCCCCCCGTATCTCCCCCAGCATCTCCCCCCCGCCGCGTCTCCCCACGGCGCCATGGTGCACGCGAAGCCCTACAAGGGGCAGGACTACGCGCGTCTGCGGCGCGCGTGCGCCTCCCGCGGGGACCTCTTCCGAGACGAGCTCTTCCCCGCCGGGGAGACGGCGCTGTCGCCCGCGGGGAGCGCCGGCGGGCGGGCGCCCTCGGGGCGCGTTCAGTGGAAGCGCCCAAAGGTGAACCCCCTCACCACCCCTCACCACCCCTGCTGAACCTTCACCATCCCTCACCACCCCTTTACCATCCCTCACCACCCCTTTACCATCCCTCACCACCCCTCACCATCCCTCACCACCCCTGCTGAACCTTCACCATCCCTCACCACCCCTCACCACCCCTGCTACTAAACCCCTCACCACCCCTCACCACCCCTCACCATCCCTGCTACTAAACCCCTCACCACCCCTCACCACCCCTCACCACCCCTCACCATCCCTGCTAAACCATCACCATCCCTGCTAAACCCTCACCCCCTGCTAAGCTTTGGTGAAGCAAAAGCCTTAAGAGAGCGTAGATTTAAAAAAGAAATTCAAATTATGGCAGCTGATAAAGGCCACTAATGTAATGACGTCCCGATCATATTATGATAATAAAATGTAAGATTTACTGGAGGAAGATACCAATATTAAAATTAAACGAGATCCAAGCAATACTTTTGAACGCAAGACTTCTGCAATCATTGCGAATTCATTAATCCCCAAGACTGAGCAATACCAAATTAAGCCACATGCCTCAAAACTACCAAGAGTGTATTGGCTACAAAAAATTCATAAAATCGGTATCCCATGTAAGTACAATAGGCTCTGCCACATATAAATTAGCTAAATATGTAAGTAAACAAATACAACCCTACATCGGAAGGACAGCTTCATTCATAAGAAATTCAGAACATCTTGTGTGAATGTGATTAAGGATATTAAACGTAAACCCTAATGATATTCTGGTAAGTTTTGATGTCATTTATCTGTTCACTAAGGTTCCAGTTGACGAGTCACTTCAATTACTTGATACACTGGTAAAGAAGCCAGGTTTACCAGAAGACATTCCAAAACTAGCCGACCATTGTCTAAATGACACTGATTTCTTGTGGAGAGGTGACTTCTTTAAATCCGTACATGGAAAACTTTGAAACAAGAGCACTTGCCTGAAGTATATTAAAAACATCTTTTTGGTTTAGATATGTCGATGACACTTTGGTTGTCTGGCCACATGGTAAAGATGCACTTATTGCATTTTTAACTAATCTTGAATGCGCAAAACCCAGCCATTCAGTTCACCATAGAAATGTAGGTGAACAACACACTCCCATATTCTTGGTTCTTTCGGTAAAGTCACGTAGAAGGGAAATAATATAATAATCATGTTGTATTTAAGTTTTATTATTTTATTATTTCCCTTCTACATGACTTTACCGAATGAACCAAGAATATGAATCCAGGCATTTACGAAAGCTTTAAATCGAAACACACTCCCATTCCTGGATATTTTGCTTGGACGCGGTCAAAATGGCAAAATAACACACAGCGTCTACCGAAAGGGAACGCACACGGATGCCTATCTGAATGCAGATTTGCATTATCACCCAGCACAGAAATCCTCTATCATCTAAACGCTCATACATTGGGCAAAGACAGTGTCAGATGGTGAAAGTTTAGGGATAGATATTAAACATGTTAAAAAGCACTAAGACTGAATGGCTATAATAATGCTCAAATTAACAGAGCATTGAATGCCAAATCAAGATCGAACAACAATACTACTGAAAGTGATCAGATTATCAAAACAATTCAAATACCATATATCTTGGGAGTTAGTGACAAATTAGCCCGTGTTTTGCCAAAGCAAAACATTAGTGAGATTTGGTACGGTACACAAAATTCAACAACTAGTGTCTTGTACTAAAGATGAATGACTGAATTTATCAACAGAAGGTGTATATCGGATGAATTGCTTATGCGGTAAGTGTTATATTGGACAGACTGGGCGTAACATTAGCGTAAGACTAAAAGAACACCAATGGAACATTAAATTCTCCCAAACACAGCTGTCAGTAGTGGCAGAGCATGCTTGCCAACAAGGGAATTCAATTGATTTTGATACCGTTGAAGTGTTATGCAGAACTAATTATTCCTGGCCAAGATTAGAGAATCATTTGAAATTGAGAAGAACACTATGGGGACCTCATTTGCCAGTAAAAATATGATAATTGGTTCTTTACCCTTCTATCTGGCAACAAAACTGACGCAAAAAAAGGTGTCAGTTTTGTTGCCAGATAGAAGGGTAAAGAACCAATTATCAATTGAGAAGAATTCAAATAATTTTCATCGCTGTGATAGCTATAGACTCAGCGCAGCCTGGAAGCATATTAATTTATTTCTACCTCCGTGACTTTACCGAAAGAACCAAAGAGTATGGATTCCTGCAGTCACGAAAGCTTCAAATAAAGATGGAAGCGTATTATTAAGTAATACACAACACATATTGCAATTCCTTACTGGTGAGTCACATGCTAAGTGGCTGATTACTGATCTATTACATAATTGTATACAACCCCACCTCCGCCTCTGATCTCGAATCCTGATTCGGTTCATCAATGATGACGTCATCCTGCACTCTTTAAGACTGGAAGCAGGTGGATGGCTTCACTATTCTGGCAAATCGCCCGAAGATGCTGGATGTAGTTTTCAGCGTAACGTCGTACTACTCAGATTGTAAATGTTGTAGATCCACTCTTCAAGACACCGGTGGGCTAAAGTAGTGAACTATTTGTCTTTTGTCAATGTGACACATTTTTTACTCATTGGCCGTGTTGGGTGGAGGCGGGTTGCGACACGTTTATAAATAACGCGATCTATCCCATAAAGATTTATTATGAAACCCTCACCCCTTGCTAACCCTTACTATGCTGCAAAACCATCCCCCCATACTAAACCCTCACCCCCTGCTAAACCATGACCCCCATGAGAATAGGGTTTGCCCTTTTTTCTGGCAACAAAACAGGTGTTGCGATGTTAAAACACCAAACTGAAACCTTTTACAAGGAATCATGTCTGCATTAACCACACTACTTGTGGTCAGAATGCAAAAAAAACATACTCTGATAATAAATGCATTGTCTATGAGACTGATTGGTCCACACTAGCGACAGCTTTCATTTGAGCCTCATCTCAAACGGTGTTAGACCAGAGGACACCAAAAGGCGTACAGCACAAAGACAAGCAATATCAGAGTACTGAGAACTCGGGGTGAGCGGCTACATCATGGGACCTCCTTTGCCAGTACCAAAATATCAGAATAGGCAAAAACGGACACCGCGCGGGACCTTAAAATGAAAACAATAACAAACAGAGGTGACGTTTCGGCCAATGGCCATACTCAACAGCATATTGGTCAGAGAGAGAGTGGACTTTTTTGGTTGCTGTTGTAAGGCACTGCGAATGCAGATCATTGCAGAAATTTTTTTTTTACCGCAGTTCACTCCGCGTACGCCATGCTGGCCGTATGCGCTCTACTCAGCCCAGGGCTCGCTAACCTGTGGCTCTGGAGCCGCGTGGGACGGCCCTTTAAAGATTGCTTGGTGACTTGATTAAGGACCACCGTCTTATATTCACAGCAGAGTCCATTGCCGGTCGTTCTGGTCCCATTGAATTTTTATATTACCGAATTTGAATAAAGATGGCACTTGTTATTTTGGTTCGCCGACCCCTGTGCTAGATGTTCATAGGCAGGACGTCCTCTTTCCGTATTGGACGTGGGTCTTGGTTCGACGCCCAACTCTAGAATGAGCACGGAATCGTCACGAGCGTCGCTGTGGAGAAACGTGAACAGAAGAAACTTCTTCCAGCGGTGCCGCTACCCCGATGAGACAATCATGCGATTCGTGATTGTAATTCTGTCTCGGCAAAAGTAACGCCACGTGATTATCGATGGATTATATCGCTTCTATTATAAATGCCTGGTGTTATGAGAGCCGATCAGAAGGCCTGAATCAAAAAGTTAGAGAAAATGGAACCCCCTCCCCCAAAGATGTGGGGGTTTCCGCCGCACGCACTGCGCACACCCTTTCAACAAATTAGCGACATCCTTAGCCATAGCGGACAAGAAGAAGTCCAGCTTAAGTGTGGCCAACGTCTTATGCACACCCAGGTGCAACAGGCGCTCGTGTACCGCCCAAATGACCTTACCCCGCAGGGCAGTGGGAACCACAATGTTATAACGGCGCAACCCTCCGTCCCAATGCACGAGCAATCCGCCTCTGAGGATGACAGAGACGACACCCCGTCGATCCCCGCCCCCATCAGCCTCCCTGACACGGCGTCGCAATTTAAGCAGGGAAGCCTCCTCAACCTGGAGGCGCCCCATTCTTCGTGGTCCAGCCCAATGACGGCATCACGTGCCATCGGACCCTCGGCCACCTCAGATGTTACAACCTCGGCCGACGCTGCAAGGGGAGGGGGCGAGTGCTCGTTGGGCGGCTTACAGCTCCCGGAGCCCGAAAAACACGCGCACCCGCCACTCGTTGGTAATCACAACAGGGCGTCAGCGTTCGTGTGTCGGGAGCCTTTGCGATAGGTAACATTAAAGGAGTAGTCCTCGAGGACCTCCAACGTGAAAGTTGGCCAGACGGCTGTTCAACACGCAGCGCGTACTGTAGCGCTGCATGGTCTGAGCGCATCTCAAAGCGTCTACCATACAAATACCATACAAATAGTTCTTGGTGTGTGACACAATACCGTTGTTCGGCCGGAGACAGCACTCTGCTTCCGTATGCGACAACATTCTCGACGCCATTGACACCTTGAGACAGAACAGCTCCAATTCCGGTGTTACTAGTGTCTGTATCGAGGAAGAACAGCAAGGAAAAGTCGGGGTAGCAGAAGGGAGGGGTGTTCACCAAGCCAACCCGGAGCGCAACAAATGCGGCCTCCTCTCCCCCAATGGAATTTATGACTCTTTGCCATCAAGGCGTGGAGAGGTTTAGCGATTGTAGCGAACTTGGCGACAAAACGGCGGTAATAGGACGCGAATCCTATGAAATTGCGCACCTCCCCCACCGACTTGGGCGTTGGCCAAGTACGAACACACGTGGTTTTGTCTGGGTCAGTCGCAATTGCCGATTCACTTACTACGTGGCTAAGATACCGAACCGATTTCTTGAGAATGTGACACTTCTGTG